CTGAGGTGACACAGCGAGGCACGTCAGCTGAAAAAAAATAACTGTCAGGCATTAATTCTTAGGGCGGCATCTTAACGCTTCTTGTGTAGAACTGCATCGATATCGTCTGAATAGAAGGCTTGGGTAGACAGTAACAACTAAATCTGGAATCATTACACAATAGGATTTTCGGAGTAAAATTAGAGGCAAAGTCAAATGGGAAGAGAAGTGGATATACGCCGGAATGAGAATAGCAGAGTGGACGCAAACGGGCGGTCCAATAGATGGATTGGAGCGGTGGTCAACACTCATTAACCTGACCTACACTACTGCTTTCCTACTTTCAGAAACTCATCGTAATTCACTTAGCTCCCTTATATGTTCTTTACCCAAACAGCTCGCGGACCTTTTAGCGCAAGCGCTAACGAGCGCAAAGCCTTGTAAGACAAGCAGTGCTGCTTTCTACGGCCATGGTCCGGCTTAGATGGCTGGTCTGTCTGCCAGGTAATTCAGATGTTTACACCTCTGGGTTCGTCTGACAATACCACATTTGTGCGGGATTTGGAAAGAAATTGTTCTTGTTCTTGGGCTCGCCCCCGCAGTTCACTGTGCAGGCCAATAACATTCAAAGAGCCGCTACGACGACGAAGAGAAACGGGGAGTAGGCGCATCCTGAAGGGGCCTGCTCAGCCCCCCGCCTAAAGCCCAATTCATTTTGATGATTTCATCAAAAGACGCATTCAGTTCTGAGCAGAATCCAGAGCCTCCAAGAAAAGTCCAAAAAAATCATATTGAACGTTATGATGAGGATCAACCAGCGCTAATCGCAGGGGCGTGAAATGGACTAGTCACGCTCAACCACCTCGTGTTAGCGTACAGCGCGCCCAATGCGATCAAGCATGGCCACTACTAATGGAGTCACTCCTCTATTTGAGCAGCCAACAGCTGCTCAAATATCACTATCGTCAAACCTCGCTCATTTAAGATAAGATAAGATTTAGGATACGAATCATCATTATGCCACTCCCCTTCTCCTTGAGACTGAGACTCCTGGCCAGAAGTTGTTTGAGCTCAAAATCTGTGTGGCTCTCCTGAAACTATAGTGCAAAAGGGTAAAGCAAAGAACTAAGCTGGGAGAATTGAATAGCTTACTGATTGATAATTTCAAGGCAAGCAGCAAGGAAGACAATGTTTAACCCCTTCCCCATTTCCGTCACGTTCTGCGATGCCTTGTGATGTTGACCTTGTGTTGATTCTAGAGCGATTTCCTTCTGATCCCACGTGATCCCAAACACTAGTGCCTCTCGCGGTTCTGCAAGTAACGAGGGCGCTGCGGCTCTCCTAAGCGACAGTTCTGACGCCTTCCTGGTTGCCTCGCCCATCAGAACTAGGGGTTGCGTATTTTCTTCACTAAGCGCAGGCTTTTTTCAACCGTCTTTTTTTTTTCTCTTCATCTTTTTTAGGTGGGTATTGATTTAAATGACTCGAAGAAGCGATTGGCGGCCAGAAAAGGCAGGATGTCGCTCAGCTGGCATAAAATGAGCAGTCCCGCATAACTCTACAGTGAGGCTGCCCAGGGGTGGGGGGTGGGCTTAGAGGTGTTTTCCATAATTTTTTTTGCTTTTTTCCTCCAACTATAGAATCGTTACTGGACAAACCGCTAACCACAATATGCAATTATTGAGTTTTTCTTGTACAAAAAACGAAAGGCTCCATGTTCCCCAAGCTGTTGAGCTAGGAGGATCCACCATTCTACATACTTCGGTCAACATGGACGAATGGAGAAAGCTTCGACGGAAGCTCGAGCAACTCGAATAGTAACAGGAATGCAGGTCATACAGACGAAAGACATACATTTATTTATAAAAACTCTTAATAACAGTCTTAGGGAAATTATTTGTAATTGTGGCACAAATCCCAAATGAAGGATTTTTCGAATTGTAGCCGGTCCATTCCACCATCCTTTGACGAGGAATCGCCAGTAGAGAAATGGCATCAGATAGCGTTTCATGAACCATGGATGGCGCCTTCAATAAGAATTCTGTGATGCGACACATACCGAAAGCAGGGAACTGGGCAAGAATATGGGCGAAACTCTTCGGTCCCTCCCAGACCCATGACCAGCGTAACCCCTGCTTTAAAGCAACCAATTCTCAAAGTACAAGCATGTTTACCTAGGTACAGCCTGATCAAGAGGTGTTGTTTCCATTCGGTGTCCATCCGCATTGAATTCGGCAAGTATTGCTTTGTGATGACCAATAACCAGTGGACACGAGCAATAGCCATCATACTAAATGGGACAAATGGTTCAATTAGACCTTTTCATACGAGCAGTGAAAGCAACCAAATGAGGTCGGTTGTTCGGTTTGAAAGGGGGTCATTTTGCACTTTCCGCTAGTTTGTATTATCAGGTTCCTCTTGCAATAAAAGGTCTACCTTTAGTAGAGACTGTAAACTCTGGTAAGCTGTAGAATGCGTGATTGAGCAATCAGGCTTAGGGAAAACTTTACAGGCCTCTCAGGGGGCGTGCCTGCACTAGCTTTAGCTGAGTGCATTCGCTGCCCCCACCAAGCCGAATGCGCCATAATGTGAAGATTAAGCGAATGATATGAACTCACACGTGCTGGTGGTTCCTTTCCTTCCAGTACGGCACTCAGATTCTTTCCAACCGTCTTCAGATGACTCGAAACAGCGGCGGCTGTTTTAGCGTTGCCAGTATTCATGCAATCTCCCGCAGCAAAGACGTTCGGAAAGTGTTTAGACTAAAAAGAAAAGCTTTCTCCCAAGCAATAAATTCACAAGCAGACTTTTGAACAAATCTTCCCCGGGTACTACCTACTCATTCCCCTCCTACACCTTCGTAAGCACTGCCTTTGCCGTAAACCGCAGGAAATGGGGAAAGTCTGAGATCAATTTGAAATTGTGCAAAAAAACTCAATAAAGAAATTCGGTACCATTTATTGCAGTTCTTCTTATCCGGTTCAAACGCATTTTGTCTACTATTCAAACACCTCTGGTCTCACAATCTGCTTGATGATCTTCCTTAAGCGTTAAATCTTTTCTCCGCAGTTGTTGACATTATTTTTGCACTTCGATTTGCCTGTACGCAAGTTTGTCCCGCATTTTTCGTAGTATACGAGGAACTTATGGGCCCACTTTCGCGATCGCCTTAAGGGGTGCGGGTCCATTATGTTGATGTAAGGTGCCAGAGATCCACCAGCTGTAGCTGGCGATACCGCTTCGCCCATCTCTATGTCGCAGAAAAGGACGCCAAGAGGTTTTTTGCCGCGCGTGAGAGCTCCCCCAGAACGAGTCCCGCACCATTCGCCGTTTCTGCCCTCTAGAAAGACGATTATGCCCACAAAAAGTCAACCTATATTTCTGGACGAGAAACTCCCTGGAAACGGGCAACATCAGTGCGTTGGCGATTTTAGTCGAGTTGTCGACCCCGATACCCCCCCCCCTTTTTTTGGGCGCGTTGGTACCACCAGCCCCCAAAAACGCGCAATTCTGTCCCTCCTCATCGAATCGAAGTCGTCGGAGCGGAAGGAGTAAACATGTGCCGCAAAACAATGGTCCCCCTTCTCCCTTCCACCAATTTTCAGATTTTCCCCAACTTCCTGCCACTTTTTCCAAAATTTCCTTATTCCCTATTTTCTCCAGAAGTTTTGTTGTCGAGCGGGGAGAGGGGAGGAGGGGGAAGGGAGGAGGGGGTAGGGGAGGGGTATATAGTACGCATGAAACAGGAAAATCACAAAAAGTCAACCACCGCTCCTACAACGCCAAAACGTAAATACGACCCCCTCCCAACAATGACCAAGTACGACCCCCCTTTACAACGTCCGTGAAGCGAGAAAAATCAACTATCAAAATAAATTTTTCCCAGCCCAAATACGACCCCCTCTCCTGGCGGCCAAATACGACCCCCTGTTGGGGATTCCCCAACAACGATGTGCCCTGACCCTAACAGACCGGCTGCGATACGACTCTGCAGCGGTCATACTGACCGCATGAAACCAAAAACTACGAAGATTCGTCCATATGCAAGCAAGCCCTAACGCCCTTTGAGGCTTTCCTCTACTTTTCCTGACTGTCGCATTGCTCAGACTTACTGATTCATATTTTGACCCCAATACTCGTATACTTTTTTTACGAAATGTGCCACGTATCCCTAGTGGGGAGAAGAAATCCGGTGTCATCGTGGTCAATGTGCCTGCGTAAATCTTAGAAAACTAACCCGATGATTAAAATCTACAATTTCGTACTAATTACTTACTCTTAACGTTTGAGGATGCACATCAACCCAGCCTTTTTCGTCCGTGAGCTCGCGACACTCTCGTACCGCCTGTGGAGTAGAGCACGGTGGTGCAACATGTAGTAGTGAGTACTGAAAACATGACAGAGAAAGCCACCGTCCACTACCAGTATGTGTGTATAAGTGGAATTTTTATTTCTAAAAATAAGGGCTCGTACGCTATATTTCCCCTTGAGAGGGAGATCTCCTTCAACACCAAGTTTTCTGGGGCAATGGTCGCGAAGAGATCCCGCGAGTAGAGATCCCCTGCATCCACCGGTATGGACCATGCCCACCAATGTTTCAGAGGCGGAGGCGCCTTGCCAACGGGTATGTGTACAAGACAAATCGTTAATATGCCGCCACTAATCAGCGTGTATATTCAGTTGAGGGAACATGGAATTTTATGTCGCCCGCCGTAGTCTTGCTTCCGCTTGAATTCATGTAAACCTCGCCGTTCCAGTCGACAAACCTGATTCATTTGAGATTTGCGCGCATTCCCCCACACCATACGCCGCACGCGATCAGATTGTTTTGTTCGTCTCCCACGGAGAGCGTAGAGAAGAGGAACTCCTTCTTCCAGAGGAAATATAACGTACGGCCCCCGAGGGGATGGTTATTGAGCAGATTCCAAATGAAACAGACTTACTGGTATCTCAGAAAATTTCCCATTCGGCATGCAGTTCTCGTCAAGCAGCTCAAATTTGGCGATTTTATTTTTTGGATCGATTTCGATCAAATTATGTCTCGTTCGTACGTCGACGCCCTTCTCTTTAGCAATCTTCTGCAGCGATTTTAGATATCCTTCTATTCCGAAGAGCTGAAAAGAATTCATTCAGAAAGTACATATTGAATTATTCATCACCTGTCGACTGCGTGAATAAGGTGTCTCGACCACTTATTCGGGTTTGGGCTACGGACTGCATGGACTTGTTCCTTTAAACAGCCTCAGCTTTCCTCCTCTAGTTCTGGGCTCTCTCTCCTTCATACTATGAGTTACTATAGAATTGCACCTCGCACCTTTTTACAGATGACTTATCCATAACGGGTCCATAACGGGGCCCCTCCCATGTCAGCCCATCCCGGATCCACCATGTGTACGCCCCTCTGTACTGCTCAAACAGCCGCTGCCCTTATATCTGGGTGTTCCACGTTTCGCGGTAGGGCCATGGCAAAAAGTTTGTGTAGTAGCGTAACCCTCAACTTGGACTTGGACTCAATTTAAGCATGCTGTCACCAAAGCAGGCATACCCCTCTATCCCGACCACCCTACAGCTTTGTTCGCTGTGGATGACGGGCATATTAGGGGAGGTGGGTATGACGCGGTGCCAACCAGATCTCCACCAGCTGATGAAACGAGCAAGCTGCAATAGTCGGAAGTAACAAAGCATACAAGCACTGCTTATCTCGATTTGCTCAGCAGTAGCAACTGTCACAAACCAAAAAACAACGAATAGAAGCAGCACAGCTCACGCTTGTGGTATGGGCGGGGTCAGACCCATCATTGGGTATTTTCCGCTGAGGCACCTAATTGAAAGCGCCAAGTTTTAACACTACGAGAAAAAGGAGTTCGACCAACATTCATCTTGCCGCGCACCCCTCCTTCATACCACAAAGTAGGGGCACCTACGAGCCAGCACTGACTAAGGAAGGCGGTTGTTCCAATTACGCCCACACGATTAACGCGAATTGTATCCTCAACGGAAGTCTATTCAGAATGTGAACGCAAGAAACAGCATATATTTTCAGACGAATACTTTGCGCTGATAACAAGGATGTGAGTGAGTTGTATGGCTAGGCACTGGGGTTTTTTGTGGTTGGCAGGTGGCCCGAGCTCCCTCATGAGAACCCCACTCACATCGCAGAGAAGGACATTTGAGAAAAGTACTTACCCGTGGTAAAGAAGTGGCGTAGATGAAGTTCGTCTTATCGCGGTAACCACGTTTACGCACAATCTCTTCGCCATAGTAGCACACCTTCTGTGGAGCTCCGGCACACTTGATCGGAGTGTTCGGGAAGGTAAATATACAGTTACCAGACTAAAATGTAGACTCATTATTCTTCTGAAAGGATTGTGGTTCTGGATATCACTAACTACCCGCCAGATAACATCCACAGCTGACAATGAGTACAGCATCGGGATGGGAAAAGGGGCGGTGTCAGACAATCCTGCCCCCCCCCCGTAATTTTCTTCCTGCGGTATACAGCCTCCTCCTTCTCCTTGTCCACACCATCGTCCCGAAATTTTCCAACTCCCCACCACATTTTTCCCAGTTCTCCAAAAAGTTTTCAGTTTTTCCAAGGACATTGCCGTCTAACGGCAAGGCGCGTCTACGTTAGGGATGCCGAGCGAAGGGGCGACCGAAGCGAAAATCGTACTTGCTCATTGGAGGGAGAGGAAGAGCTTCTGCTCTGTATTTTCGGTTGATGATTTTCCCATTTTGCGTGCGATATCATCCCCCCCCCCCTCCCCGCTGCCCTCCCGCGCTCGATGGCAGTTTTTCAGTTTTCCCAAGAGAAACTTACGGCTTGTTGAAAAAAGGGGCAACAAGTTAGGAGAGTTAAGGAAGATAGTAGGTACAAAATGTGGAAGAAGAGGGGTCGTACCATGGGAGGAAACTTTGAAGGGGTCGTATCTCGTAAAATTTCTTCTCAATGGCAGGACGTGCCCCATCGAGCGGACGGGGAGGCGAACATCGATCGATTACTCATTTCTGCTATCGAAAGTGAATAGTATTCGCGTAGGACTCTAATAGCGCAGCCAATCAAGGTAGCGGGGGGATATCGCACACATGAAGCGGGAAAAACCGGAGCCGACAAGCGAAAGTACTCTCGTGGTTTTGAAAAACTACTGCCAAGACATTGTTTCCCCCCCCCCTCTGCAGCGAACAAGCCCGTCTCCTGAATTCCTCCCAACGATGCTGTATCCTGGTCTGAGTTCTGAAGAAGAGTCAGTCCTACCGTGACAGTATTCAGCTCTTTGTAAGTTTTCGTGCATAGATGTGGTGCATAGTTAGAGGTAACTCCAGGAGTATCGAACGCTTCTGGTAGGCCTTTGATCTGAAAATGTCAAAAGAGAGCCTAGAAAATTGAGAGTTATACGATAGAGCATTTTTCTTGTCCATAATCTCACCATATCCCATCGAAGCTGCACACCGGTGGCCAAAATCATATAGTCATACGTAACCTCATCGCCATTTCTATAAAAAAAGTTTCTGAAATTGGAAAAGATCTCCAGAAAAGTCCGAACAAGTCTAAACGATTATCAATAGAGCTGGAACTTTATGAAACTACATCTAAATAAGTTTGAAGTTGAGAAGAAATGAATTTGGACTGAAAAATACACTGAAGGATGCGCATATACTCTTCAACTCACCCTAACTTGACCAAATTCTTTTTAGGCTCAAACTTCACAACACGATCTTGAAGCCAAACCGAGTTTGGATGAATAAGGTCTTTCTCTTTCCTAGTGTTCTGTTCTACCGTCATCCAACCGCCGCCAACCATCGTAAATCCTGGCTGGTAGTAGTGGTTCTGGAAATATCCAGTGACTAGGAGTCGACTGAACTTCAAAAAAAAACAAGATTTCTTCCTTAAATTGTGGGTAATTTGGGAAGCTTGTACCCATGATCAAAGGCAGGGTATGATAAGAGTTTCAGGTGGTGATATGCAGTCAAGGGAGGAGCTGACCAACGACAATAAACCCAGGAATCGTTCGCGTTTACCGATGGCGTACTATCGTATATGAGAATAGACCAATCCATAATATTTCCTGGACTAACCACATCGTCATCTGGAGCACTATTCCTTTTATTATAGATAAAGCCTTCCGCGCAGTTCCTCTTTTTAGCAATCATAGCCAAACCCACCTCATTTGGCTCGACGACAGCAACAGAGAACTTAGGAAGTTTTCTGGCAAACTTGTGACTGGCACCCAATCCGGCTGCTCCACCTCCGACCACCAGCACACGGAAATGCTGTCCTAAAGAACTTATTAAATGATTACTGATCGTTCATTAATCTACTCTTTTACAGAGGTGAGGAATTTTGTTTGTGTTCTTGCGATCCTTAACCGATTTAGCCGATGGGCAATTTCACTGAAGCGTCCATTTTTCGTTCTCTCCCTTTCTCGGTATGACATTCTGTGGCCATTGCGACCAAATTATAAGTGGCTCACCCACTCAGGAATTATGTCCCTTTGAAAAAGTTTAAATCCCGGCTCGCCACATGATTCCTGCACATTTCGATGCTTTGGCTGCCGCTGTCCTCTACCTGACTGCGTCACATGGTTTCGCAACAGGGCCACCCACAAAAGTTCATGAAGTCACGTAACCTCGGAGGACAGAAGGGCAAGCCAGGTGGACACCACATGACCCAAGGATGTGGTACACCCATGGCCACCACATGAGGTGGTGCACCAATCTGACCTTCTGAGGACCAGAGGCCGACGTTAGGCAGTGGCTTGCTGATCCGACTCAAAGATTTTGAAGTGCAGCTTCCCCTGTCGTCACTACATGAGATGGTTGTAGTTTTGTCAGAAGAAAAAAGTGAGACAAGACAGTTCGGTGGGGCGGAGGGGGGGGGGGTTGCACTTCTGCTACTCTCCTAGAGATGTGTCGTCCAGATCTAAAGAGCTATATCGTGAGCTACAAGAGCTCACAGGTTCCACCAGAGTGAGACTTGTAAACCGGAATTAGTAAATCAGAGAAAGTGTAAAATGCCCCCTCGTCGCCGAACTGCGAAAAAAAAACTCGGACACCAGCTACACACCAAGAAGGGTGAAGCTCATTCAAATGGACCTGCGATCCTGGATGGAAGCCCAAGCGGGGCCACTCTAGAAGAAAATCCAACAAGTCCGGCACTTTATTCTGGTCACTTTCATGGTGTAAATTGCGAAAGAAGAATGTCAAATACTAGTGCAAGTTTGATTTATCACAATGCTGTCAAGTGCATTTCTGTCAATAATGTCACGAGGCAGTTACTTGTAACAGCCACCAGACGGAAAGTGCGTGAATCTGTCACCTTTTTTCAATGAACTATAACAGCAGATACTTTGGCTCATCAGATCAGAAGGGCAAGCCAGGTGGGACACACTGACCCAAGGATGTGGTACCCAATGGCCACCACATTGAGGTACACAGACAAAATGCTGTACACAGGCGGTTTATCAATTGTTCTTACAGAAACGCGCCAGACAATTGTGAAACCGCCTGTGTACTAAGGAGTTGTGCTCGACTGAAGAACAGAGTTCTGATAGAAAGACTTGATCATCTACAAAACCAAACGTCAGGTCGTAGGTCAAGTTATGACCCTAAGCCAGGGTGGACCTGCTTGATATCCTTGATTTTGAAGTGTTCGAATGGAAACTTATTCGCAAACAAGCAAAAAGAGCATTAAAACAGCATGATAGGTGTTTATGAACCTTCATGTCCTTGGCCAGATTTATTTCCAGGAATTACCGTATTCTAAGAAAAAAAGAAGCCCGGGAAAAATCGAAAATAGTGAAGAATAAACAATCTCTGAGCACACTAAAGTGCAGCATTTGAGCGATTTGCAATGGAACTCGAACCTTCAGTGTCGCTTTAAAATATTAGGGCCTCGAATTTCAAAGGCACTTGGGAGTTGAATATAATGAGAAGATTACAACACCAAAGAAGAGAGGATATTCTTCAACACGTTGACGATGATGGCGGACAATGGTGGCTGTCAGCCTGTCTGTCTCATGGGACGATGATTCTTTCTATTCTTCAGAAAATATACTGGCAGACAATGGTGTCTGCCAGTATATTTTCTAAGAATAAAGATGAACGAACAGCCAAGTTCGTCGTAAACGTGTCCCTGGGGGTAGCTTGTCCCTCTGAAATGAATACCACAGCTGCTTGGCGCGAACTACCTGGCGCCCGCGCCACAGGCGCCGGCGCCAAAATACCGTAAATCACCAAATTAGCTGAAAACTTGTCTCCTGGGGTAGTTTGATGCCGTGAACACGAATTTCACAACCACTTGCCACAAAACCGCCTGGCGGCGGCGCCAGACAGTTAGGGGCACAAGTCATGAAAAAGGCGGAAAACTTTCAAAAAAAAGAAAACTCAACGTAGCGCCTATTGCGCGCGCCAAGCAGTTTTGGGCCAAGAGGATGTAATATTCGTCTTCAGGAGGTCAAACTACCCCAGGAGACAAATTTTCAGCCAAATTTGCTCCCAGAGAAAAACTTGGTAAAACTGGACTGATTTCTGAAGACTGGAGCAATAAAAGCTAAATTGTGTCGAAGGCGACCGTAGCCATTCATTTATTCCAAAAATTACTAAGTTTCTACGAAGAAAAATGTGCCGTCCCACGGGCAATTCATGAAAAAAACGGCTCGTCGTCAACGTGTTAATTCATAACGGATCACGCTGAGCAGGCCGTAATAGGACTGCGTGATTCGTATATGAATCACGGCTTATCAAACCCATATGCTTGACAATGCATTTTTTGCCACGATTTTTTGCTTGGCTTTATATATTTACTCTATAACTATTCCTGAAGGCAAAATATTAGCCAGTAAAAATCATCTCTCTCTGCCTTCTGAGAATTCGGTGGAAGTTCAGCCTAGATATGGATTATGGAAAACTGGGCCAGCAAAGGGTAAATATGCCCTAGCTTTCACTGAAACTTCGAGAAAGAGTGAACAATGCCTGTGATGACGTTATCTTGTGAGCTTTCCTGAATCTTTCTTTGAAGTAGACAAGCTTACATCCTTACAACTCTCGAAGACATGTTTCCTGGTTCGAATTACAAAAATGCTCCTCGTGGGACCGCTTTTCTGTACGCATCACGCCCGTGTCGAGAAAACACGCGCGGTTCTACGCGCCGAAAAAAATCAGAACGCGTGCGGTCGTAATGTTGTTAAGGAAGAGGTTAAAAAAAAGCCCGCGATGGAAAAGCAACAAACATGCTCCAAATAATTTAAATTGCGAAATAGCAGCGTCAAACAATGCTCTTATACCTCTTACCATTAGCCATGTGGAACAAGCAGTGGAACCAACAAGTCGTTAAGAGCGCTGAATGCATTGAAAGGCACAAGAAGTCGAAGTAAAATGCAAAAATGAGGCATAAACCAATTGAGATGGAACTAACGCAGCACAAGAGATGATGCAAGTCCAAGCGCATGAATCTTAGTTGAATCCCAATCATTCAGATGAATCGGTCGCCTGAACTTTATTTTTTTGTTTTTTTTTCTAGCGCTTGACTGGCTTTGCTTTCATTTCCAGTGAATGAGCAGACGCCACCCATTCGAATACTCAATTCTTACTCTGACCCTAACTGCGTAAGTGACTTACATAAGTACCGCATGCCAATCAAAAGACGGAGCCTTCGAAATCAATAGAAGGGCCTGGTTCCGCTCAATTTATCATAGCGAAAAGCTACATACCATTACCAACTATTTACATACATAGATAACCTTGGAGATTAACCCCGCGATATATTGCTGGCAGTTATTAGGTTGTCCGGAAAGTTCTCAGCGTTTTGTGCACCTATTTTTTGTACATTCACTGCTGATTAAAAACTCATTCTGCCTTGCTTCTCAGTAGCACATCCTGTAGAGAATTTCTTGCGCTATCTGATGGTATAATTGCCGTTTCACCATTGCTTGATAAACCCCCTTTTTTCAAGATTTTTTCAAGCATGTGAAAAGAGCACTTCGGACGATTTTTTTCTTCGACTATAAATTGGGGCAATCCGCAATCGAAACAGCTCAACAAATTAACCAGGTGTGGGGGCCCAATAGTGCTAGAGAAAGCACTGTGCGGCAATGGCTCAACAAATTTCGTTCTGGAGATTTCAGCCTTGAAGATGAACCTCATAGCGGTCGACCTAAAGCAATATCTGACGAGGATTTTAGGGGGATTTTGGAGGCTGACCCATCCCAAACAGTTCGAGAGATAGCAGAAGAGCTAGGCCTTGGCAAATCCACTGTTGCAGATGGTCTGGAACGCATTGGGAAGGTGAAAAAACTCGACAATTGGGTGCCCCACAATCGGAGTGACCGGCAGGAATCGGCACGTCTCGAGGTTCCTTCTGCATTGCTTTTGCGCAGCAGAAACGACCTGTTTTTGGGCCGAATTGTCACCTGTGATGAAAAATGGGTCATGTATGATAACAGGAGACGTTCCGGACAGTGGTTGGATTTCGACGAACCACCGAGGTAATTTTCAAAGCCGAACCCTCACGAAAAAAAGATTCTGGTCACGGCTTGGTGGTCATCGGCTGGTGTGATCCACTATAACTTTTTATCACCAGGCCAAACCATCACAGCAGAACCCTACTGTGAAGAAATCGACGAAATGTACCGAAAATTTTGTCAGCTGCAGCCAACACTTATCAAAAGAAAGGGTCCGATTCTTTTGCATGACAACGCCCGCCCACACGTTTCACAAATCACTATCCATAAATTGAACGAATTGGGGTTGAAGTTCTACCTCACCCACCATATTCTCCAGACCTTTCACCAACCGACTATCACCTTTTCAAACATTTTCAGAACTTCCTTGCTGAAAATACTTCATCAGGACCAGGCAAAAAAGCCTTCGTGGATTTCGTGAATTCTCGACCACCCAGTTTTTTTCTTTGATGGGATTTCTCGACTGCTGTCACATTGGCAAAAGTGTGCTGATTCGAATGGTGCTTATTTGGATTAAATCCGATGAGTATTAAGAAAGTTACGATCGTTTAAAGTGAAACACCCAAAACGCTGAGAACTTTCCGGACAACCTAATACAAAGGCAGGACAATGACAAGACTATAGCACCAAAGTGACGCTCCAGAGAAGAAAAAAAGCAAAAAACAAAACGTCGACAACCCTCTAAATAGGAACCCCTGAAAGCCCCTTTTCAAGAGTTCGGACCTGCTCTTTTCATACCGCTTTTCAGGCCAGGGAAGCGATATCCCGCCGCCTCTGGCTCTCGTCTCATCCAGTGCTTATACAATCAACAGCGAAAAAAAAGAAAAACCAAGGTGTCAAAAGTGAACTTGTGATAGGAAAATAGCCTTTCGAGTCTTGATGGCGGGCCCACTAGGTAGGCGTCAGAACTGCTACTTATGAACGCCCCAGCGCCTCCGTTACTCTCTGTAAAGCTGCAAATGTGGGAACGTCATAGAGACTTTGGAGGGCTAGCTACTTTGAGGACGCCTATAAATTACTTAAAGGCACTTTCCGCGATAAAATAAGGCTATGACCTTTCAAATGTGTCAGACGATCCGGAAGGAGATTGCGGAGGCTGCGCTACCTTTAGAAAGTGAAAATCGGCAAGACCCATGGGCGCCCCTTAGGCCCATGCCGACCCCACCGGCTGCTAGCTACTAGCTAGTAGCCACTATGCTATCTCTCTCCATTCCGAATGGTGAGAGTGAGGTGATACGATAAAAGAGCTGATATCTTTATGATAACGACGAGTGGAAATTCGTACAAACATGCGTTTTCTTCATTGCATGCATGTACAAGTTGGGGTCGATATGGAATCCTATTTAGGGCATTTTCGGCTGTTTTTCTGCTGCTTTTCTCCGCTAATCAGATACCTAGCCCTTTTTCGTTCCTATGTGGGTTCCGTTACCCACAATCTGTGGTCGCGGGCTTTGCCTTTAAGCGCGGGCACTGTCCTTAGGTCAATAAATCCAAACGTATAAACCGTAATTTTCTCAAGCTTTTGCTTCTTTCTAAAGCCTGTACCCTACTCAAGCCCCTTTTGGCGCAGAATTTCACATAATAACGCCGCGTCGCCACGGGCGCGACTCATGAAAAAACGGGTTCGTCGGTCACCGCGTGATCTCATAACGGCAGTCACGCTTAGGCAGGCCTAATGAGGACTGGCGTGATGTGCGTTATGAATCACGCTTATTCAAACCCATATGCTTGGACAATGCATTTTTTGCCACGATTTTTTGCTTGGCTTTATATATTTACTCTATAACTATTCCTGAAGGCAAAATATTAGCCAGTAAAAATCATCTCTCCCTGCCTTCTGAGAATTCGGTGGAAGTTCAGCCTAGATATGGATTATGGAAAACTAGGGCAGCAAAGGGTAAATATGCCTTAGCTTTCACTGAAACTTCGAGAAAGAGTGAACAATGCCTGTGATGACGTTATCTT